TTATTACGGTAGCAATGACTCAGGGTCAGTGCTGATCATTTTGACAGTAAACCATAAATAAAATTAGGGTCAAAATTGGATTTCTATCATTTTGCAGATGAAACTAAAATCAGCAAGTTGGAGAAAGAGAGCAATGATGTGCAAGAGTTTAAAGCCGAGACTGTTGAGGAAGTAAAATGGTTAATGGTTACTGATGAAGATGAGAATGTAAAGGAAGACATTTGGGAAGACATTACCTTCCCTAAGATTCATGCAAAGGTAACAGCCATTCAAGAAGCGAACATCACAAGAATTGAAACTGAGAAAGTAGAAGAGGAATCCTTTGAACATGACCAGTGGCTGGACGTCACCGAAGAAGAATCTAAGACTGATATTGTCTCAAAAGAGATTCCTCTAGAAGATATCTCTGTGTTTGAGGTGGTGAGAAATCACCAATCGTCAGATGAGGTCGATGCAGAATATGAAACAGAGACCCAACCCACTACCGAACAAGTTCACTCTGTTGAGAGTCATGCCGAGAAAGTTTCCCGAGATACCGAAATGAAAGAAATGGAAACTGTAGAAGTCCAAGGAAGAGCTTCTCTTAGCAGAGAGACACATGGAATCAGGGAAACACGCGGAAGCAGAGATTCAACCCAATAACGAACAAGTGCACTCTGGTGAGAGTCATGCCGCGAAAGTTTCCCGAGATACCGAAATGAAAGAAATGGAAACTGCAGAAGTCCAAGAAACCTGTGAGGTCAACAAAGAAGTTGCTAAGGAGATAAAGGTGCTCCGCCTTACTTGGGAAGAGCTTCTCTTAGCAGAGAGACACATGGAGTCGGCTGTTGTGGAAGATTTGAGTTCAGATCAAGTCAAGTCAACAAGATTAACTTTGCCACAAGAAGATCCTGCAATCCAGGCCTTTAAGATCATATCCAATGATAGGTAAGGGCGACTCACCCAGGTGGAAGGGAAATTACAACATCAATTAATTAATTTAACGTATACCACATGGGTGAATAGTGCTTTTCGCGCGCGCTAACTGATTGGTTCGGAAGTGATTAGCAAGTACTATTCACTTTGTAGTAGCTGAAGAGACAAAATCGCGCGTCAGCAATATAATTACCAACAATTTTTGGGAGTACTGACAGAAATAAACTTATCTCTTTGGCTTCTCAATGGTATATACTTAAAGCAATTATTCACCTCAGAGTCGCAACTCGGTAAATATCAACTCCTATTCACCTCCACTGCGGTGAATAGTTATTTGATGTATAATTGTGTCTCACGATGTTTTACTACAGATCGGTGGACAAACGTAAAAAAACATTCACTACACCGTGAGACACACAATGTTTTTCAAATAGAAAGTGTATTCACTACGATTACAAACCACCACCTTTTATCACACTACATTAACTTTCACAGCATGTAAAATTAAACTTAGCTTTAGACTAGATCAGGCTACAATGCATTTGAGCACAGGCAGAAGGATGTTCATTTCCTTCATATAACTTACCACAATGATTAACAGCGGCATAAAACAAACATGTAAGTATGCCACTAAACCTAAGAGTTCGTTTGCTTTTTCAAGCTGTAGTTAATTAGAGATCATGGATAGATTCTCAGTCAAAAATAAGGCTCAGAGGAGTATGGAAATCATTTTCCACAGGAAGAGGTCTAAAGGGAAATACCCAGCCTGATGGGTGTGTGATTAACTATAACTACATGATTTACACAAGAAGAAAAATTAAGAAGCCAACTTGCAAAATCTAAGTGTAGAAGAAATAGAATTGGACGTAATATTTGATGCCAGAACTTTCTGCACATGCCTATACAACAAAGCTTTGAGGGACGATTGCCAGTAAATTCAAGAGCGTAGACAGCTTTTAGAGATTTGCTTGTAGTTCTTTTACCCTTCTGGATGTTTGAGAAAAGAAATGCACTCTCTTACTACGTCACTTGATGAAAGACTGAAAGAAAATGCAAAACTTTACTCAGTAAAATTATTCAAGCGGGTCTTGAAGATTTATGTAAGGGGCGGAGACGAAGGCCGTGAGTGGAGGAGAAGAGAGGGGAGGGACTGGGAGGGAAGGAAGGTAAAGGGAGGGAAAGAAAGAGGGAGAGAGAGAGAGAGAGGGGGGGGAGGGGCTGAGAGGGAAGGAAAGAGAGGGGAGAGAAAGGGAAGAGAGAGAGAGAGAGAGAGAGAGAGAGAGAGAGAGAGAGAGAGAGAGAGAGAGAGAGAGAGAGAGAGATTAAAGGGCACTTTTGCAACGTAAATTCGGGCACTTATGTCACGTTAGGGCACTTTTGTCACGTACCTTAGGGCACTTTTGTCACGTTAGGGCACTTATGCAACGTACCATAGGGCACTTTCGTCACCTTAGGGCACTTATGTAACGTACCATAGGGCACTTTCGTCCCTGTCTCCAGTTTTTGTGTCTCGTATAAAACTGAAGAAATGAAATCTAAATCAAACATAGTTTTTTGTTTATTTAGAAATACAAACAAGCCTACAAGCAGAGTCACTCTCTGCAATCTTCATGCTGATTCACAACTTTAACGTTACCTGTTTCTCGTGTAACGGCGTGAAAAATAGTTAATTTTATCGTTAGGTAAGGCATTTTTTTAATATAGAATCATTTATCAGCATATTTGGAACATTTTAAGCGATACTTGCAAAAACAGTGGAGGGTTCCTTCAAACGTAACCTGTTTCTCATGTAACGGCGAAAAAGTCAATCTACATTGAACGTACTTTGCTTTCTCTTTAGAGATAAAACTAACCTATAAGCAGAGTCACTCTCTGCAGTTTTCATGCTAATTAACAACTTTAACGTAACCTGTTTCTCATGTGACGGCGGAGAAGTTAATCCACATTGAACGTAATTTGTTTTCTCTTTACAAATAAAATTTAACCTATGGGCAGAGTAACTCTCTGCAGTTTTCATGCTAATTAATAACTTTAACGTAACCTGTTTCTCATATAACGGCGAGATAGTTGATCTATATTTAACGTATTTTTTTTTAATTTTTACAAATACAAACTAACCTATAAGCAGAGTCACTCTCTGCAGTCTTCATGCTAATTCACAACTTTAACGTAACCTGTTTCTCATTTAACGTAACCTGTTTCTCGTGTAACATTGACCGTACTTTGCTTTCTCTTTAGAGATAAAACTAACCTATAAGCAGAGTCACTCTCTGCAGTTTTCATGCTTATTAATAACTTAAACGTAACTTGTTTCTCATTTAACGGCGAGATAGTTGATCTACATTTAACGTAGTTCGTTTTCTCTTTAGAAATACAAACAAACTAATCTATAGGCAGAGTCACTCTCTGCAGTTTTCATGGTAATATAATATCTTAAACGTAACCTGTTTCTCATGTAACGGCGAGATAGTCGATCTATATTGAATGTATTTTTTTTTTCTTTTTACAAATACAAACTAACCTATAAGCAGAGTCACTCTCTGCAGTCTTCATGCTAATTCACAACTTTAACGTAACCTGTTTCTCGTGTAACGGCGTGAAAAATAGTTAATCTTAAACGTACTTTGTTTTCTCTTTAGAAGTATAAACTAACCTTTAAGCAGAGTCACTCTCATGCTAATTCACAACTTTAACGTAACCTGCTTCTCGTGTAACGGCGAGAAAAAAAAAGTCAATTTTAAACATACTTTGTTTTCCCTTTAGAAATATAAACTAACCTTTAAGCAGAGTCACTCTTTGCAGTTTTCATGCTAATTCATAAGTTTAATATAACTTGTTTTTTATGTAACGGCGTGAAAGTTAATCTACATTAAAAATAGATTGTTTTCTCTTTAGAATACCAACTAACCTACCAGCATCGTCACTATCTACGGTTTTCATGCCAGCCTTACAATTTAGCTGACAAAAAGCGTTGCTTGGCAAATTGTTCATTTCTTCTGATTCAACCTTCTCTCGTATTTCAAACGATTGATTATTTGCTTCAATTTGAACTCGTGTAACATCGCTTTCCCCTCCTCCTCTTTGCCAAGCATATCTTTGACGGCAGTTTGGGATATTACCCCTGATTTTACCATGCCACCACATACCTTAAGTAGGTACTTCCTGTGATCATCACTAAAGATGTTCCTCGACACATAGCTTGAATTTGAAGGAGGTACCATCGATACACTGCTCTCTTCATTGGAAAAGAAGCGGGACACCAGGACTTTTTGGGGGCTGTTCAGCTGAAGGTTTGTCGTCATCAATATCTGAAGGTTGGGAGTTGCTTTTGTCATTAAAGCGCCACTCACTTCGAATCTTGTCATAGACCTTTCTTGGGTGAAGACGACGGAGGACGGGATGCTCTTGAATCTTTTCCCTCACTTCTGCCATGGTAATTGATTTACTTTCAATTTCTGTGAAAAATACATCTTTTAAAGTAGCCACCTGTTCCTCGTCCCACAGCATGCGCTCCTTGTTGTTTCTGTCATCGGCTTCTAAAGAGACATCGTGAGAAGTCGTAGCGGTTGGTAGGGTATCTTCTACGCCTTTTTTCGGTTCAGCCGATCTCATAATGGTGGGAAGGCTGCTTGCCGCTTGTACGCACGCTTCCTCTTTCTTTTTAAGTCGGTAAAATCTCTCAGCTGTCCCTTCTTTATGCGCCATGAGGTCGGCCAGATCTGATTTCATTCCTTTATGTCGTGTGTGCACTTTGGTGACTGCTGACTTGCGAAAAATAGTTGATGTCACGTGCCCTTCCATTCCTCCCTTCCTCCACGCTGCGTTAATGGCAGTGGATATCTGGCCGGACTCTAATTTAGAACCATTCCAAGACAGGAACACACTTCTTTTGTTACTTCCATACTCTTCACTTGTGGAATCTTCCATCTGGCTTCGCATTTCACTGACGTACAATCTTAAATACGAGAACAGTGATAATGACAACACCACGCGTGCCGGGCCGTGAGTATCCGCCGTTTTGTGGTCCTTGACGCTTATGACCATGCTATCATCCACTCTCTTTGCCGCCTTATATTCTTCCAGTGTCATATTTGCCGATCACCAGAACGGTGTGCATTGGCAATAGTGATTTCAAGGAGAATAAAATCTCTGACGAGAGTGTACATGGACTGGTTAACTTGTAACGAATGCGCTCCACTTAGTTGTTCCAAAAGGTTAACAGCGCTCCGTGCTGCCTCACTGCGTTCATATTCGTTGACCATTTTAGGGGTCACTAAATTGCTAAGGTCATTGTCCATCTTCTCAAGATACCGCCGTTTACTATCCTTCCTATACGACATGGACCAAAGACGTGCTTTCTCTTGAATTTGTTGCACAAGGGCAGGATCAACAGCCACACTTTCAGGTTTCTCGGCAACCACGTACGAACAGAAATGCCTTAAACTGAGGAGATAGGCTTTGACGGTATCGGCTGTATACTTTGCTTCTGCTTGCTTCAAAAAAGTGTCGCGAACAAGGGTTTTGTTGAACAACGACTCAAACTGCAGCGAAGGATCAATTATCTGCAATATACGGAACAATTGCGAGGCATGTTGCTTTGATAATTTCTTATCCTTTCTACCGCCATCTGCTGACTGCAACCAGCTGCGGAAGGAGGATACTACATTTATCTCATCTTCTACGTTTGAAGAATAAGCTTCTTCTGCCGATTCCATAATGGCTTGCTCTTCTTCAGAAGGTTCCGTGTTGTTCGTCTGCACCTCCACTTCATCTTCTGACTCGGCGAGAGAACATTTTTTTATCTTTGTTTCCTCTTCTGTACGAAAACGTTTAACTTGTTCAGACGGTTTCCAGGTTTTGGCTGAGCGAGCTTCTCTCAAAATCTTTTTGTAAAATGGTGACCCTACTGGGATGTCCCGATGAACTTGACGTATATGATTAGATAAGCGCTTCACCACTGATTTACACCCTTGAATTGGGCAGGCTCGATGACGGTGATAGTCAGTGTATATCTTCTTGCCCTCACTTGATTCTGACTTGTTATTCTTCACAGGTTTCGGCTCAAAACTTTTTCTCATCCCATAGCTCGATGTTGCTTTTCTTGCCATCTCCTTGCTCCAGTTGTTATATCCGGGTATCCACGCATATTGCAGGCTTGGCTGCTAAGCCGAAGGACGTTTTGGATACGTTGGATCTGACTAATTTCAGTGTAAAAACTCTTCTTGTATATTGGAGTCTGTTCCGTTACAATTAAAGACTTTGCGACACTACAAATTGGCGACGAGGATAAAAGACAATCGGATAACACGCCAAGATGAGTTTTGAAAGGTTTTCGTTGTCACCAGTTAATTTAGAGGCGACAAACTTGGCGGATGAGTGGAAGTTTTGGCTCGATGCTTTCGACAACTACCGAATTGCTACGAAATTAGATAAGGAAAGCGACGACGTTCAAAAAGCTACTCTTCTACATCTTGCGGGGACGGGAGTCCAGCGTTTGCTCTCAGGTTTGCCGGGAGAGAACAAGAAATTTGAGGAAGTTAAACAAGCGTTGAGTGCACATTTTCAGCCGAAGAGAAACAAGTGGGCAGAGAGGCACAAGTTTCGAAAACGTGCTCAACTTCAACATGAATCACTTGATACCTTCATTGCAGAGTTACGTATGCTGAGTTTAACATGCGACTTCGGGGAAGCAAATGATGATAATATTCTTGGTCAAGTTATAGAGAAGTGTTCTGACGGATATCTACGAGAAAAGCTACTACAACAAGGAGAGACTCTTACACTGAAAAAAGCCAGACGCTCGGGAGAGCAATTGAATCTGCAAAGAAGGATACACAGCTACTTGGGGTCACGGGGCCCAAAACGTTCCTGGAAAATCTGATGTTAATGCGGTAAGATTTTCAGTAAATAAAGCGAAAGAAAAAGCCTGCTTTCGCTGTGGAAAAACGGATCATCTTGCTAATAACGAAAGGTGCAAAGCTAGGAATGCACAGTGCATAAAATGTAAGAAGACTGGTCACTTTTGGAAATATTGCAGATCAAGAGAATCAGAGAATAAAGAAGATGTAAAGTTTGTCCAGCCAGTCCAGCATCAGTCAGATAAGTCTAACCCTGAATATGTTTTGTATACTACTAATAATGAGGGGGCTGGGTGTTGAAACTGATGTCGAAATCAATGGTAAACTTGTTCAAATGATGATTGACACTGGCTGTGCTAAAACCTTGATCCCGAAACAGTGGTTTAGAAACAACCTGAACATTCCTCTTAACCCAACCAATGTCAAGTTCTCAGCTTTTGGTGGAGGAGACCTCAAGTGTTTAGGAGTATTTGATGCTAAACTGAGATGCAATAAGATGGAAGTAATGGAGCCAGTGTATGTGATCGATGTGGAAGGTCCCCCTGTTGGGAAGAAGCGCCCTGTCCACCCTCAACCTTGTAAAAATCCATGCAGTAGGGGAGAGCCCAACCAAGGCGAGGGAGAAGATCTATCAGGAGTATGAAAATCTCTTCAAGGAAGAGCTCGGAGACTTTAAGAATTATGAGTACAAAATTAAAATCAATTCAGATGTCCCTCCCAAGGTACAAAAACAAAGGCCAGTCCCTGCACCCTTAGAGGATAGATTGAAACAAGAAATAGAGCGAATGATCCAAGAAGATGTGATTGAAGAAGCGACAGGAGCATCGTGGATATCACCTGTGCAGATTGTCTACAAGGGGAATGGAGAATTGAGAGTGTGCGTCGATCTCAGGGAAGCTAATAAAGCAGTGATAAGAGAGCGGTTTCCAATTCCTAGAATCCAAGACCTGTTACGGCAACTGAGTGGGGCTCGGATGTTTTCGACTCTGGATCTAAGGAAAGCATATTGGCAGGTTCGCCTAGCAGAAGAATCTAGAGAAATTACATCGTTCATAGCCGCAGGCAAAGTGTATCAGTTCAAAAGGCTGCCCTTCGGACTTGCGTCAGCACCAGAGGTGTACCAAAGGGTCATGAGCATAGTGTGAAGGCTTATCAGGTGTGCTTAGCTACTTTGATGATGTTGTGGTGTACGGGTCAACACCAGAAGAACACTGGAAGAATCTTCGTGCAGTGATGGCTAAACTTCAAGACTGTGGCCTTCGTCTCAATGTAGACAAGTGTGCCTTGGGCATGTGTGAGCTGAAATTTCTAGGACACGTCATCTCTGCTGAGGGCATTAAGCCTGACCCTGACAAGGTAAAAGCCATTGCAGATGCACCAGTACCTCAAAACCAAGCTGAGCTGAGATCATTTCTGGGAAGCATTACATACCTTACACAGTTTGTTTCCAACCTTGCAACAGTGATCACCCCTTACGATATCTTACGCAGAAGGGTGTGGTGTGGAAATGGAGTACAACAGAATCCAATGCCTTTGAGGAAGTTAAAGAGCTTCTGATTAAAGCACCATGCCTTGCACACTACTCATTGGAAGCCGAGACCAAACTTGTAGTAGATGCCAGCCCAGTCGGTCTTGGGTGTGTCTTGCTGCAAAATGTTGACAGCCGTTGGCAGCCCATATCTTATGCGTCCAGAAGTCTAACTGCTGCAGAGAAGAGATATTCGCAGATCGAACGAGAGGCAATGGCTGTGCTGTTCGGATTGCAGAAGATGCATTCTTACATTTATGGTCGCCACGTTGTCGTCTCGACTGATCATAAACCACTACTTGGCGTATTCAATAAAAACACTCAATCAATTCGCCTGGAACGGATCGCTTTGAGATGTCAGGACTATGACTTCACACTCACTTATGAACCTGGATCTGAGAACATTGCAGATGGACTGTCAAGATTACCTTTGAACGCTACTGTTACAGAAACAAGTTTTGTTGAGGAGCATGTACACTTTGTCAAAAGTGCTGATGCTTTGCTCTCAATTGATGAAATAAAAGAGGCTGGAGAGTCTGACCCTGAATTACTAGAGGTGGTGAAGGTACTTGATGGAACCCAGAACCTGGTAAATAATAAATGGAAACATTTTAAAGATGAACTGAGCTTTGCACAGGGCCTACTGTGGCGAGGTCGACGAATTTATGTTCCTGAGAAGTTGAGAAAAAGGCATTGACCTTGGCACATGAGGCTCATCAAGGTATTGTGCGTTGCAAGCAACGCCTTCGTAGAATTCTGTTCTGGCCGGGGATGGACTCTGATGTTGAAGACTACTGCCGAAATTGCGAGACTTGTGTGCGCCTTCAGCCACTACGACGAGACACACCTAATACAGCAACTCCTCTTCCCGATTACTGCTGGGAGAAGTGTGCCCTTGACCTGGTGGGTCCATTTCCTGGAGAGATCTACATCATGACTGTTGTTGATTACAGAAGCAAGTGGCCCGAGGCTATTGTTCTTAAGCGTATTACAAGTGAGAGTATAGTCACTGCACTTGCAGATATATTTGCACGATTTGGAAATCCAAAAGTTCTGATCACGGACAATGGACGTCAGTTCGTAGCTGAGGAATTCCAAGACTTCATGAAGGCAAATGGAATACAGCACAGAAGAGTATCACCCTATTTTCCACAAGCAAATGGGCAGGTCGAAAGATTTCATAGGTACCTAAAGCACAGTATCAGAGCAGCAGAGTTAGATGGTCTATCCTGGACAGAGGTTCTGCCCACAATCCTGCAAGTTTACAGATCCACTCCACATGCCGGGACTAACATGACCCCGGCTAAACTGTTTCTCAACAGAGAGATAACAACAAAGTTGCCAACAGTACCAGAAATGGATCAGAACAACCCTGAAGAGAGGTACAAGGAATACCAGAGGAAGTTATGTGAGTATACTGATGCCAAGCGACATGCACAACAACATAACCTAGTACCTGGGGATATTGTATTTGTAGCAAATACAAAATCTGGAAAATTGATTCCCACGTTTGGTCATCAGAAGTATGTCATTGTTCGTAGCAAAGGACCAGATACTTTTGAACTTGTCAATGCTGAGACTGGACAACATCTCACTCGTAATGTGAAGTTTCTTAGTAGAGTTCCACGCATGGAGCTACCAGTTAAGGATGACAATGACAACGGCTGCTTGAGTCGGAAGAGTTCGCTGGGGCAGCGATGCCTCCTTTGGATCAACTCGGATCTACAGTCTCGGATGATAGGAATCCCGCAGATAGTGGTCCTCCCGACTCAGCAATGGAATTGAGACGTTCAACTCGAACACCAAAGCCAAAGAGAGATCCTGACTTTGTTTATGACTAGAACATTGTTTTAGTTCTTCTATGTTAAGTTGCGTTGTTAGAATGGACTTTGAACTTTAAATAGGTTAGGATGGGATGTTATATCCGGGTATCCACGCATATTGCAGGCTTGGCTGCTAAGCCGAAGGACGTTTTGGATACGTTGGATCTGACTAATTTCAGTGTAAAAACTCTTCTTGTATATTGGAGTCTGTTCCGTTACAATTAAAGACTTTGCGACACTACACCAGTCATGAACCTCCCTTAAGTGTCGAGGGATGTCTATGACGTCTGCTTTACAACCCTTTAACGGGCAACTGCGTCGTGGTCTTTTCTTCGAACCTTTGAACTTTTTTACGCCATCTTTTTTACTGTCTTCTTCATCTTCGTCATCTTCACTGCTCTTCTGAGTCCAACCTCTGCTCTCAGAGTATTCACTGTCTCTTGAAGGACTCCGACTTTCATAATCTTCGACATCTATTTCCACTTCATTGTCGTCGTGTTCTTTTCAAAATCTTGCCCAGGCATTTCGAGTATTCTCTAGTTCACATCTCCGCTGTAACCGAGATGCAGAAGTTGTTTGAGTTACAATTTGAATATGAAACGTCAATAGAAATACTTTATACAAGAAATGGTTGTTTTGTTTTGTTTCAACCTGAGCAACATCATCAACAATGACAGCATTTTTTATTTAGAAAAAGGGAAAACAATGTCAGTACCATAAGATTCCATTAAAATAAGAGAATTAATATTCCTATATCAATAAATTACAACCCTACATGTACATATTTGCAATATAAACGAGATGAGAGGATACACTTCGTCTTTTTAACATACTTACATATTAAGAAAAGAGTTGACTTAGACTATTGCAATTCGAAGTAGTAAGCAAAATGTTGATCTACTTCTGGTCCACTATCCTGCAATCTTTTGGGTCCAGACTCTCAGGGTGGATAAATTAATTAATTATGAATTTTAAAGTGTTGCTTAAATGTGGTGGCCATCTTGGTTTTTACATACAATTTAACCCCCCAAAAAAAAAAAAAAAAAAAAAGAAACAACAAGAACAACAACAAGAAAACAATATATAAACAAATAAACGCCGATTCCGTATTATCTTTATTAATTTGAAAAAAGAAAAACTTGAGGTTGAGGTTAAAAAGGTATGTTCCGGGGAAGGCTTCAACTTATTACGTTTTATGTATAGCGATTTTTAGATGAATTAAAAGAGTTTCTTAAGGCAAGGAGGCAAGCACACAACAGCAGACGCTTTGTGAGGAAAGAACAGGAAGAATCAAACAGCTAGAGGTTACCACAACATAAGAAATGTTTATTACTTAACTTGTATAAAAATTATTGTCAAGGTACACTGAGATTGTATTGAAGGTTATTTATTCCACCTAAATGAATAAGGATCGCAGTTACAAGGAATTATCTGTGGAGATTTTATGTTTCATGACCGTTTGTTAGTTTTGAAACGCTGCTTGTTTCACTAATTTCCCACAAACTTCCTCTCAACTATATTTAGTCATTATTCAAGTCATATACGTGATCTAAAATAAGGTTTCAGTAGAATCATGATTTCCTGATAAGTTAAATCATAGTTCTAGAATTTTTCTGCTAGGAAACAGGTTTTGTTGTGGGCGCTACATCTTTTACAACGCCCTAGTTTTTTCGCGTATCATAGCCG